AAAAATTTTAGCATACTTGATCACTACGTAATTGTGAACGTGATAGTGGTGGTCACAAGTTCATAACCCGTGATCTCAACCTTAGTTTGTAAAACATCTTCTAATTTGATATTAACTATATATAGTATATACTATTGTGAGCCCTTCTTTGGTAGAATTTTCTCAACAATAATACGTGGTTTTGGATTCTTTTTCAAAAAGGAAATATTTTTTTTTTCAAAATTTTCTAACACGCATAAAATTAAATCATTTGTAAAAAAAAAAAAATAATAATAAATTCTAAACGATCATTTGTTAATCGTGACATTAGATGTTTTATAAAATTTGAAAATCAAAATTTGTAAAATTTGGAATAATGACATTCAGAAAAATTAGAATTTTAGAAAAATGTTCAATATATTGGAATTTAAGATATCTTTAAAAAAAACTCATATCTACACCTAAACAAAAACCAATATATATAATAATTATTATAATAAATATTTGAAAAGCAAAAAAGTCTATTATATTTAGCCATTAGCAAATATAATCAGCATGATCCTAATAGAATGACCATAAACAGTAACACAACTGCCTCCGCATTATACTATAAAAAAAAATATGGCATTTGTACTATTTTATTTTTTCACTAAATCAATATTTTTTTTAATCGGATTATGTCATCGTAACAATCATATTTATTGTTTGATTGTAGTCATGTGTGGTAGCACTAATTTTGTCATAGATCATCAGCGCGCCGACTTTTCTTTTTTAAGTATTGGCATATGAAAACGACTATCTTCCTTTTTAATGACGATTTCAGCCCATTGATTGTTTCAATCAGTATATATAAGATTTGTTAAAATTTTTGAACTTTTGAGAACTTTCAAAAAAAAAAAAAAAAAAAAAAAAAAAAAAAAAAAAAAAAAAAAAAAAAAAAAAAAAAAAAAAAAGTTTACCTGGGAGGGGTTCGTGACTTTTGTCGATGGAAGGTGATGGGACGAGATATATTGATTTTGCATTCAACTTTTATAAGCGCCCGACAAACGTTAAATACGACCAACGCTGCCAGCATCGGTTTGACCAATATTTAGGATAACCAAATAACCGATGATCAATATCTTTACCTCCACAAGGGCCTTTATCGAACTAAAGCAATGTACAATTCAACGCCTTAAAGTTCTCCCGTCCTCTAATATTAGAATGATTTGGTTTGCAATTTCACAAAGTCAACATCACGCTCAAGAAATCCCAACAATGATCGTGAAGATGCATTTTTTTTATATGCAATTCCTTTTTGTAATAACGATGATAACGACGATAACAAAATGCATTGTCTTAGCGAGATAAAGCTTTGATTTTGTATTTTATTACAAATGCATGATTTTGTGAACTGAACCTGTTGATTCAACGTTCTATCTTGCTGGAGACCGATCATTCACAACTCACGTCACGAATCACCCCACTCCAAATCAACATGCTACGATGATCTCCTTGGAACCATAACGAAGCGAAGGAAAGAAAATTTAGGAAAAAATCGAAGACAAAAAAAAAAAAAAAAAAAAAAAAAAATTATATAAATGAGAGAGTGAAAGATACAACCGACAACTACACGATGTCGATATCTTCAACATCATTTATTGAAAATTATTTACGTAAATACGTAGTAATTTTTGTTCAAATATACCAAAATCAATATTCAAGTATAATACATCTTACCATACCGTTCTTTTGTGTTTAAGCAAGGTCGTTCAAAAGGTAAAAAATAATCTTGCCCTTTCCGTTCATTGTTCATGAACAAGATATATTTAATTATACTTTTTACTGTAATTTAAACAACTAAATTTTATTTAAAAAAGGAAGGAAAAAAAAAAAGAAGATTGCTCTCAGAAAAAGGATTTAATATTTTTAGACCTTTTAATGTTGCATGGTGTAGGGATTCCGGTAAGATACGTATTTTGGACCTATAAGATATGATCTACTGGTCCTACATCTCTCAACAGAGAGTACACATTAGATCTGGTTTTTTCGATAGCTAAATTTTCCTTTACATTCTTCTCATTATAATTCAAAAGTTGAATATAATGATTTTTTTTTTCAAAAAAAAAAATAGGTTCTTGTAGCATTTCATTTTAGTTTAAATATTTCAAATATCCAGCCATTTGTCGTAACTTCGACTTGGTTAAAAAAAAAAAAAATTCAAAAGTTGAATAGAATGATTTTTTTTTTCAAAAAAAAATGTAATTAATAAATTCCTCTGCGAATCTGCTGCTGTTGGGGGGGGGGTAGATCATTTGATCTGCCCCCGTCTTTTAAAAAATAAAAGTTACACTTACCATGAATATGCGAATAATTTTTCATGTATTAGTAAATAAAAATTTATATAGTATAATCTTACACTAATAATTCTAGATTGATAATACCTACTTATTTCATTATAATTTCTTCTGATAATGATTTCATTTGGTATACATTTTCCAAAAGACACTAGATTATGCTTTCGGAATAATTATAATTACTAATTTTAAATTATAAAGAGAAACGGCTAAATAATGTACTAAATAACTTTAGATCAAGGATTTACAAAGGCGTTCCTTCAGACCTTTGATAAATCGGAATGGTCTACTTTTTTCAACTTTTCTTAAAACCAAATCACAAAAAATTTTTCATCTCTAACATTAAGAAATTATTCTTAAAATTAAAAGTTCGGCAATAAGATGGAGAGCGCCAGTTTCCGAAAATGAATAAAAATTGTTCTTTCTTTGGCATTTGGCATGCTGATAAATAATTCTTACCCTCTTCAGTTTTATTTATTCTTATTATATATTTCGGGTAGGATCGTCTAATTTTTTTTTTTTTTGCTTTAGTTACGAGCACGTGACCTCCGTTCGTTTTCTCCGTATGTTTATTCTCTAGACAAATAATACCTGTGCCTCTTTTTTCGTTTACAACATTTGATCCTTCAAAAACTTTGACTCAAATTTAAAATTCTAACAATTTTGCTTATATCATTTTATTAAAAAAAAAAAAAAGATATCAAAATTGAAGATCTTGACTTTCCTAACCGATAAATAAAAAATTCATTTATACAATGAAACTCGAATTAAAGAATCATATATTTAAAGAAAACACGTTAATCTCTCTCTTTTTTTTTTATATTGAGTTTGGAAGGAATTGATATTAAAGTTTATCGCGTGAATCGATTTTTCTACAAACATATACGCTACATTCAAGGTTAATATCCAAGAACATGATAAGAGTCTATTAAACAATTTTTCGGTGAATTCATTAATTGAGGACATGTCAGAGTACTGGGATGACGATGCGATGTAATAAAGTTGCAAAACGGAATGATTGAAAGTTTGGATCAGAGTTATAAGACAACTTATGTTTACAACTCGTATATTTAGTATGTGGAATTGCAAAGAGATCTGACCTTGCAAATGCGCGCAGGAATTTCTGTCATTGTAGAAACGTTATTTATAAAATAAGCTATTAATTACATCATAAAAATTTCTTCAATATCATGGTCATTTTCATTATTATATAACAATTCATTTTTATTTATCACATAAAATAATTGTAACTAATTGTACGACGACAATCATACAACTCATATGATAAGACCAAAAGAGCAAAAAGAAATATATTAAATAAATAACTTACACATTCACTGCAGCTAGAGCATTGCGATGGAGGTAACTGCAAGAAGGAGAGTTCAGAAAGCGAGAAGCTGCCCAGCTCATGAACGCCGTTTAATTGTTGTTTTGTAAGGAAAGGTACATAGCCAGTTCCTTCTCCAGAAACAGCAGATCCTTACCAAATAAACAACATCCATGAGTGGTTACCAACGACTCCCTTCCTGAAGCGCCTTCTTAAGTCTAGTACCTCCACGTTGAACTCCAGCCGCTATTATATATGAAAATAAAATAATAATACAAATGATACAAATAAAAATACAGTTACAGAAATAAAATATACCTTTATACTGTTACATGTCATCCGGCCCACTTCTTCCTGTTTAAATGATAATATTAAGTGAGTGGTATATATATAGGTTCAGCAAGAAAAAAACAATGAACTGATATTATATACCTTTATAAAACAATATATATATTTTTAAAAAATAATCTATAGAAAATCTATATAATCTAATAAAAATAAAGAAAGAATATTAAGCGTTAATAGGGTTCGTCACAAACACATTTTTTTTTTATTTTTTGACTTGTCATATGAGTTGTCGTATGTCGTGAGAAGAAGTGGAAGAAACTTGAAATCCTTTGGAACGCGTAATAAATCATATCAACAAAATCACGTGAATTTACTAAAATTCTAAGTCGCCCGGAAAAATGATAGCCGGATTTATTTGCCGGGTCACATATAGGAGCGACAAATGATGAAATTACTCCGGTCGAAGAACATATGTAAAAAGAAAATGACCAACCTAGGTATTAATTAATTATATGAACTATTTAAATGCATTGAAGCCTAATCATAAATTATTTAAATTTTAATTAATTCACATTTCTAAATGATATAGATATCTGTCAAAGCTTACCGACTATTAGCATTGTCTTATGGCGTGCGTGTAACGATTTGATTAGAACTTGGACAGTTCTGACGATTCTGATATGGAATTCGACGAGAAAGGATCACTTTATAAATTTGAGATAAAATACAGAAAGACTTTAAACTCCAACCCGACTTCATAATTTTCATCTAAATAACTTGAAGCTTACCAGAACTGATAAAAGTTTCAGGTTTAAATCTAATTCAAGTATCTAAATTTTCAATTACTGAATTATTATGAATTTGTCCGTTATCATATTTTGCAATATAAATAAATATAAATTGGTATAATAATTTGTCTTGGTACGACTGACGTGTCATTTTGAGTCATTTTATATTGATATTAACTAATCTATCGGAAATTGCATCTATTAATTCTTGAGAAAATCTCAAATAAAAATTATTGAGTTCGACCTCGTTAAGGCTGTCAAAATAAATAGTCCCTTCTAGAGTCAATCGAACTTGTCCTATTGAGACGAAGAAAATCTCACTAAATTCCATTACAGGATAATCAATATGACAATATTTAAATAATTTTGAAATCACTTATAATTAGATAAATTTATATATATAGCACATACCTGTTTTAAAATAAAAACAGCTTCTTTAACACCATCGAGAGACGTTTGGTTAATTCTGTCCTTTACAAAATCATCATCAATTGAGAAATAGTAACTTTCACCAGGTTTCAATGTAGACTGAATTATTCTAACACGAACAGTAATTCCGTCCTTATATAGAATTATAAATTTGTTGTTTGT